TCTCCTCTGATTCAAAGATCAAGATCATGCTGTTTCAGCTGCACAGAACATTTATCAAGAACTTTGACTTCATTACTTTCCTAAGCCACAGCTTCTTTCTGAGACCTGAGATCTTATCTGATTTTCTCAGTAGGCAGGGAGCAAGGGCAGGAGCAGCTGGGGACAGAAAGAGACCACAGCTTTCTGTCCACTCCAGGCTTCCCTGTTTCCCCTCCAACCAAGCTCTACTGCCACTCATTTCTCTTCTTCCAGCTCCAAACTTCCATCTCTTTCCCTATTCATCATCCCAACAAACACATCTCTGACTGCAATATCTATTTTTCTACAACTTAAATTTACAGAAGATCTTGGTTTATAGATTTCTAGCAGAGCTACTAACAACATATTTACATTGCTCTGGACATTATACCCTTGGCACTGTATTCTCTCTACAGACCTTGCCCCTGGTTGCTAACTGAGATTCTGCCCAAACCAGCACCACTCTAACTTGTGTAGTTTCTCACCATCAAGCAACCAGCAGTGACCCCTAATAGGGATGCTGACCCGCAGCCAGGTGCATTCTGGCTCCAGGTCTTTCCATCCCTAAATGGCCTGTGCCATGGTCCCATCAAGCCTTGCAGGTTACACTAGGATAGTTACATCACTGCTGAATCTACCTCCTTAACTTGCTTTCACCTACAGTTTTAATTTAGTAATACTTGCATTGTCTTAAGTCTTTGGAGGTTCTCAGCCAATACTTGGACCCAGCTTCTCATATGGTACCTTTCCTCTTCTCATCTAAGTTTCTTTTTGATGAGCTGTTGGAATCCTAATATGAGAATCTCTGGAATTCAAAGAAAGAGGTGGGAGCATTTGGCACCAAATGTGCTTGTGTGTGTGTGTGTGTGTGTATGAGAGAGAGAGAGAGGGAGAGAGAGAGAGAGAGAGAGGAGAGAGGGAGAGAGAGAGAGAGAGACTTCTTGTGGCTTTTTTCCTCTGGGAGAGGTAGATTCCTTCTCTTCCGTTCCATGTCTCCCCTTGCTCCAAATCATGCTGACATGAGGTTATGGCTCCTGGTATGGTAAACCTCGTGAGGGTCCTTACTCATACGGAGGAGGTTTGGCTGGCAGTTCACTCCAATTCCTTCTCCCTTCTGACTTGTGAAATTCAAGTATCTGTGAAAATGAAAAATATGTTAGTGTACATATGTCACCCAACAAAGCTTTATAAAGCTATTTTTTTAAAGGCAGCTCCATTTTCTGAATATTTTAAAACTTCATTGAGCTAGAACTGATTTTGAACAATGTTATATAATTACATCTTCATACAGGAATGCAGTAGCCAGCTTGTTTAGCTCAGAACATTACTTGCACATGGGAAAAATCAGTCTTGTGTGTTTGTTTTTTCTAAATATAGAATTCATTTTTGTCTTAAAATCTTAGTACCCCGTTTAAAATTTTTTAGGGGACTAACCACCTTTGCTCTCCACCATGTTTTTTAGAAGCCCACCTTTCACAGAACCCTGGAGCACTAAGCACTTTTATAGTTAAATAACTAAAAGATAAACATAAAAGTGTCCATCCTCAAGTTCATGGGCAAGTCTACCCATTGCCAGTGTCACTGACCAATAGGGTCAATATTTGCTGATTGAACAAATAATGAAAATACATTGAAGATAAAAACCATTTAGGGATTTATCGTGTGTAAGTAAAGACAGAAATGAAATGAAAATTCCACCTGTCAGGCAGAGGATCCAAACCATAACTTTAGATGCACAATCTCATGTAACTATTCCAGACAATGGCAGAGCACACCTAACGTGTGCTACCATTTCCTCCACTTATGCTACTATCTCCTCTACACACACAGCGCTCAACACCACGACTCATAAGGTGCACTGAGCACACCCTGTGTTTGCAAGTGCTCACTTTAATTGGCTGATGGTCTTGTGGTTGTTGGGGGGGGGGGGGGGGGGGGGG